GGCCGCCGCCGCCTGGGCCTCGGGGGCGGTCTCAGCCCGCGGGGAGCGGGCTGGCGTGTCTGTTTTTTAAAAAAAATGTGGTGTCCTACGTTGTCTGTTTAAGGAAGGATTCCGTGGCAACGGAAAGAAATTGAGGTAGTCCCGATCAGGCTGGTTTTAAGGCTGCTGTGAGAATTTGCTGTGGTAGTTACAGAGATAACATGTTTAGGGATCTACATTAGGCAGCTGAGTGAAAGGTGCAGCCTGGTGATGCTCCCAACATCAGTTTGAGCCGAGCACTCCAGCTTGTGACAGATTTTTTTTTTTATGTTTTAACGTGTTGAGGTGTTAACGGTGCTCTATGTACTGGTCCAGATTTCTTTTGTGTGGTTACAGTGTTTTTCTTGCTGTAGCAACTCCTGGATGATTACCCGAAATGCTTCATTGTGGGAGCAGACAACGTGGGATCCAAGCAGATGCAGCAGATCCGTATGTCGCTGCGTGGGAAGGCTGTTGTGCTGATGGGGAAGAATACGATGATGCGCAAAGCTATTCGTGGTCATCTGGAGAATAACCCTGCCTTAGAAAAGTGGGTATCGCCATCGGAATGTACTGCTGGGACCTCTGTCTGGGAGGAGGAGACGTTGTCTGAGAAGCAGAACTGAGGGCTGTCGTCTTTCCTTCAGGCTGCTGCCTCACATCCGTGGGAACGTGGGCTTTGTGTTCACCAAGGAAGATCTGACTGAGATCCGGGACATGCTGCTGGCCAACAAGGTAGGGGAGATGAGCCCTCGCCATGTCTCTGGGCTGGCAGATACAGAATTAAAAACAAAACTGAAACTGCCTGGGGGGATACCTAATTATTAGGAGTCTTCGAGGGTTGGGAACTAAGCCCCTGCAGCCTTAGCCAAACTGCTCAAGTTCTGTCTCACTTGTGCTTGCCTGAGTGCTGTCCATCCTGGAGGAACACTTCACGAGGGAGTTGATGCCATCCCACAAGATCTGAGAGGTGAGCATTCTTCCAGCTTCTTGTTTTCCTTTTCTCCAGGTGCCAGCTGCTGCCCGTGCGGGTGCTATTGCTCCTTGCGATGTCACTGTGCCGGCCCAGAACACTGGTCTCGGACCTGAGAAGACCTCCTTTTTCCAAGCCTTGGGCATCACCACGAAGATTTCCAGAGGGACCATTGAAATTCTGGTTAGTGAGCAGCGTGCTGCTGTTGTTGAAGTGTTTCCTTGACTGGAGGGCCCTGATTGTGGCAGTTGACAGTGCTGTAAAGATCAAAGCCCCTGTTGGTGCTGAAATACTATATTGGCAGTCTGACTGGTGCACTTCAGGAGCTTGAAGGATGTCTACCTTGGGTGAGCTCTGCTGGAGGAGCTCATGGGCGAGCTACCTGCGAGTAGCGTTGCCCTTCTAGCTGAGACGCACCTGCTTGTGTGGTCTAGGGCTTTCTCAACTCCTGTAGCTGAACTTGGAGCCTTTTTTTCTTGTGTGTGTTTATTCCTTTGGTTTCATCTCTTGGCATTGGAGATGAGCATTTGCGTCCTTTCCATTGACGTGCCTGAACTTCTTTGCGAATATTCACTCTTTTTCCCCTTATTTCCTCAGAGCGACGTGCAGCTCATCAAGACTGGAGA